GTGGGATGTTTCTAAGGCTCAGACCTGTGGTTCACATCACTTCTGCCCATATTCTATTGGCCAGAATCTGGCTCCCTAGCCTCCACCTGACAGCAAGGGAACCCAGCAAATGTAGGGAGGGATCTGCTGGGAGCCATCTCTGCCACAAGGAACAAGTGGAAGCAAGTAAAAAGGAAGCAAAGACTGACGCACATGTTGGGGAGGTGATGAAGGATGTTTTGAATGTTTCAGAGTAGTCCAGGTACACCTGAAAGTACAATGATTACATGAGGGGCAGGAGAGTGAATTAGAAAAAGGTTGTTTTTCTGGATTCAGCTCCAATGGGGTTTGTTCCCCAGGTCTTGGCACTGTGCCATGGTCCTTCTTGCCACGGATATCCAGCCTGGAAACTTCACTGTGGCTCTACCCGGGAGGAAAACATTTTCCTGCCACTGCCCTGAGCCTCCAGACTGGTCCCAGTTACTTTGGACATCCCAGCTTCGGGGACTACCCCAGACCTTCCCATAATCAATAATTAGAGGCTGGCGCAGCAAGGGTGCTCTGGAACCTGCCTAGTGCTCGAGGGTGACAGGCAGCACCTGCTGTCATTGGTTGGTGTTTGTGCTGCCTTTGCTAGAGCTTTGTGGATCTCAGCTTTGAAACCTGTGTCTTTTTACAGTCAAAGGGTCTGAGCTGGGAGAAGGCCCCTAGGTATGCTCCACCAAAGCATTCTGGTGTTTCCTGTCATCTCTGAAGATTCCAAACTCTTATATAACAGGGGCTTGAAGACTGTAGCATTGAGATATGAGGGCTTGTAGTTATCATCCAGTCCAGGGGACTTGAACTCCAGGTACCCGGAACTTAGAATAAATCCTCATGGTCTCACCATGACAACAGGGCTCACCTCCTCTGTCTCATACCTCTCCTTCCCTTGGCCACGATTGCTGCAGACATCCTGACCCTTTTACCTCTTTATCAAATAATCTCAATTTGCCCCAGGGCCTTTGCCTGGGCTTACTTTCCTCCAAGAATGATTTACCCCTGATATTTGCCTGACTAAATCCTTGTCACCTTTCTGATTGCAAAGAGGCTTCCTTGACAACTCATTCTGAAGTAGCTTTTCCCTCTAGCCTTGCTACTGTCTCTTTCATTCTTCTGTTCGATTTTCTTTATAGCGCTTAGCATTATATGACACTATTTTGAAATTGTTTATTTCTCTCTCTCCTCAATAATATAAGCCCAGGAAAGACGAGGATTAGGATCTGAGAGATGGTTGCAGCAGAACCCGAAGCAGAACAATCTTGTGCTAATTAGAAAAAGAGAGCACCCCCACCCCATTTTTTTTTTTAATTTGAGATGGAGTCTCCCCCTGTCACCCAAGCTGGAGTGCAGTTGTGCGATGTTGAAGAGAGCCCTTTCTTGATACACTTTACCATCTTCTGCTGGAAGTTTTTTATATTCATTATACAAACCCACCTTGTTGGTGACTTACACACCCTGTATGGCCCTGCCTCCACCCCATCAGAAATGCTTGTGGAATGAGTGAATGGATTGGTGGAAGTCAGGGGGACTGGAGTGGAATATCTGAAAACAAATGTCAGTGTGTGTGGCCAGCGTCTGTGTACCTTTCTTGGTTGATTGAATCTTCTGTGCATTGATTACATGGTATTAGGCACAAAATCCCTTTTTTCGTTCATTACCAGAAAAGATTTGTCAAGCACCCACTCACTGTGTTTGCTTGGGGAATTCAGCCATGAACAAGACACAATTTCTTGATTTAAGAAGCTGGGATTCTGGAGGCCGGACGGTGATGTGAAGGATGATGCAGTCTAGGGTCATAACAGCTGCACTAGGAGCCAACCCAGTGCTCTCCTGGAGCACAGGACACCTGCTCAGTGCAGAGGACTCAGTAAGTCTTTCTGGAGAAGTGATTGAGCTGGCTCTTAAAGGATGGAGAGGTTCTAACATTGCACAACTTATAGAGATCCGTGTTGCTCAGTCTTTAAGCAGGCTCAAATTTGGTAGACAAAAGGCAATTTTCAAACTCCAATTCTTTACTTGAATTTCTATTTCTTTCCTTCCTTCCTTCCTTCCTTCCTTCCTTCCTTCCTTCCTTCCTTCCTTCCTTCCTCGCTTCCTCCCTCCCTCCCTTTCTTCTTTCCTTCCTTCTTCCTTCCTTCCTTCCTTCCTTGCTTGCTTCCTCCCTCCCTCCCTCCCTCCCTTTCTTCTTTCTTTCCTTCCTACCTTTTTTTAATTCCAAAGTCTTGCTTTCCTGCCCAGCAGACTGGAGTGCAGTGATGCAATCTTGGCTCACTGCAACCCCCGACTCCTGAGTTTGAGCGATTCTCCTGCCTCAGCCACCTGAGTAGCTGGGACTACAGGCACAGACCACCACACCTGGCTAATTTTTGCATTTTTAGTAGAGACAGGGTTTCTCCATGTTGGCCAGGCTAGTCTCGAACTCCTGATCTCAAGTGATCCACCTGCTTCAGCTTCCCAAAGTGCTGGGATTACAGGTGTGAGCCACCATACGTGGACCTTTACTTTCATTTCTTAAGTTCTGTGAAATCAGTAGGGATCATTCTCTAGAATTCCCTTTTAATCTCCTATCCACTTTTCCCCAGATTCCAGTTCCCTCACCTCTTTCATGCAATCTTCCCTGCAAAACTCCACCCCCAGTTTTCAGGCCCTCTCCCCACTTCTCTGGTCTTTATTGTGAAGACAAGCACAGTCTCTTCCTTTTGGGACCATTCTTTCCTCCTCCAGCTTCTCAGATCTAATCATGCGTCCACTCTCTGACTACCACAAAAGCCAGAATGGAAACCTTTCTGGAGGGCAGCCCAGGTTAAGAAACTGCACAGATACAGTAGAGGGAGAAAAATGGGTGGTTCTGAACACATGCATTAATTATTTTGGTCTCATCACACTTTTTAAATGACTATTATTAATCCATATCCCAGATGAGGAAACTGAAGCTCACAGAGGTCAAGCGACCTGCCCAAGATCCCAAAGCTGGTAAAGTGCCTATTTTTCCTGTCTGCCATACTTCCCTTCCCTCTGGCTTCCTCTTTGCCTACTTAACTGTGATTCAACCCAAAGAGAAACTTCTCCAGGAAAGCCTTCCCTAAACATCTTGCCTTGGCCAACCTCCCCAACTATTGTACATTTCCATAAGGCTGTGAACTTCCCCTCACAGCCCATGTCGCATTTGTAATTGTGCATTTCTTTGGATTACTCCTGGCTTAAAGCCTATCTAGGCTTCAAACTTTTAGAGTAGGGTCTCTCTCTCTCTCTCTCTCTGCCTCCCACTGTGTAACCATTGAGTAAAACAACATCTGGGACAAGTCAATACTTGTTGAATATTTGCTGAATAAAAGAATGAATGACTGGAATTCAAACCCCCGTCTCCAAAATCCAAGTTCTTTTCTGACATCATGAGTTGGTGTTCTCCAGGAGAGGATGGGGGAAGGTCATTCCAGGTTGAGGAATTATCACGTGACCATTTACAATGGGTGTTCTTTTTAGGCGGTGGCGATGGTGGTGGCAGCTTGAATCCAGGCTGTATGCAAAGGGGTGGCAGGAGAAGAAGCAGGAGCTGTGGGCAAAGATGAGGGCAAGATGCGGAAAAGACTTTGCATGCCTGGCCAGGAACATGGGCCACAGGGAGTGATCGTGAAACACAGTGAGGTGTCTCATCAGGGGAGTGAGATGATCATAGTCACATTCAGGAAAGATCACTGCCTACCGGGAAGACAGAGGATCAGGGCAGGAGAGTACCAAGAGAGTGCCACCATCAAACAGGGTGGAGGAGGCACAGTTCTGGACAGGGATGTCAGTGGTGAGAGGAGTGGTCCAGCTCCCAGAAGATGAGGAGAGACAGCAGGTGAGGATGACTCTTTAGTTTCAGGTTTAGGCACCTGGACAGATAGTCTTGCCCTCTCCAGCAGCAGAAAGCACTAAAAGAGAAGGAGTTTGGGGGAAGGGACTGCTTCGGCTGAGCAGCCTATGTCTGAGAAGCTGGGACACTTGCAGGTGTTGGTACAGGGTGCAGGTGGGTTTGGTGGAGGGGGAGACTAGGAAGGGAGGAGAAAGTCCAGTCTGTTTCTAGACCTCATCATGCTGCAGGTGTCTGGGCCAGCTGGTGGCAGACGGAGCTGTGCAGCTGGCTGCTGTCACATCTCTTTCTCTCCCAGCTGCCTTCAGCTGAGCTTAACACCAGCAGAGGCAGAAACGCTTCATAAATGCCACTGTCAGCTGGTAGTTGTGCTCAGAGCTCAGGAATACTGTTTTCCCTCTTCACTGTTTTCCACCATTCTTTTTTTCCAGTTTGGGTTTTGGGCGCCCTCAGTTCCTTTTTTGTTAAACACTGAGCTGTTTATCCACCCCTCTTAAAAGTGCCCTGAAAGAAGAGGCTTCCAACTCTCTGGGGAGCTCTCTTCTTCCTCTGATCTTTTCGGTTCATCCCAAATTATTCCCCAACGGAAAGATCGCTCAAGGATTGGGGGCGGTGGTGGGGAAAAGGAGAGTCTCCCAAGAGATCAGGTTAAACCCCAGCCTCAGGGTGTTGAGGGAGGGGCTGGGGGAAGCAGGAGCCTGTTCCTAGTAGACACTTTCTACTGGCCACCTCTTCCTAGACGGCTTCCCCTGACATCGCCACAGGAATAGGAATCATTATCCCACGCCGCGGAGAAGGAAACCAAGGCCGGGTAAAGGCCCTCAAAGTCGCAGAGCCAAGAATAAAGTCCGGATTGGGACTCAGGTCTGTGGGCAATCCAAGGCCGCCCCCTTTACCCTGCAAAAGCTCTTTCCCCTCTGGAAGCCCTCGAGTCCTCTTTCCTACCCTGCCTCTTGTTCCCCAAGCATGGCCAGGGCTAGGGCTCCAGGGCTGCTCCAAGCACCATTCCGTCTTCCCGGGGAGAATTTTCCTCTCCCGGGGCTAGGGTCTGGCGCTGGGGCTCCTCTCGGACCTGCGGGATCGCCCCTAGACTCCGGAGCGCTGAGCGCGAGGAGCGGCTGCACCAAGGCACAGGTAGGGCGGGAGCGCGAGAGAGCCGAGCGCGGAGGCGCTGGGGGCGGGACGCGGGGCCCGGGAGCAGCCTGGGACAGCGGCAGCACCGCAGCTCCCGGCGCCCGCGGCTGCCTGCCCCAGCCACTCAGTGGCGGCTCGCTCTCTTCTCTGGCTCCGAACCCGACATAGCTGCTGCCGCTGCCGCCCGGCGCGCTGCGAACTCCGGAGAACAGCCCTGGCCGTCAGCGGGCACCAGCGGCTTCCTGTCCCCAGCGCCGAGACTGGAGGGACGCACCGCGGCCACCGAGCCAGAGGCGCTTCAGGCGGCGAGAGAAGTCCCCGCGCGCCCCTGGGCCCGGCGCAGCTCACGGTGAGCGCCCCTCAGGGCTCGAGGGTCCCTTGGCTGAGGGGGCGCATCCTCGGGGTGCCCGATGGGGCTGCCCGAGGGTCGCAGGGCTGAAGTTGGGACCGCGCACAGGCCGCCCCTGCAGCCCAGCCAGAAATGCTGCCGCCAGGGAGCAACGGCACCGCGTACCCGGGGCAGTTCGCGCTGCACCAGCAGCTGGCGCAGGAAAACTCCTTGGGGGGCTCGGCTGGGGCACCGCCACTGGGGCCGGCGCAGGTGGTCACTGCCGGCCTGCTGACCCTACTCATCATCTGGACCCTGCTGGGCAACGTGCTGGTGTGCGCTGCCATCGTGCGGAGCCGCCACCTGCGCGCCAAGATGACCAACGTCTTCATCGTGTCTCTGGCCGTGTCAGACCTCTTCGTGGCGCTGCTGGTCATGCCCTGGAAGGCGGTCGCCGAGGTGGCCGGTTACTGGCCCTTTGGAGCGTTCTGCGACGTCTGGGTGGCCTTCGACATCATGTGCTCCACCGCCTCCATCCTGAACCTGTGCGTCATCAGCGTGGACCGCTACTGGGCCATCTCCAGGCCCTTCCGCTACGAGCGCAAGATGACCCAGCGCATGGCCCTGGTCATGGTCGGCCTGGCCTGGACCTTGTCCGTCCTCATCTCCTTCATTCCAGTCCAGCTCAACTGGCACAGGGACCAGGTGGGCTCTTGGGGCGGACTGGACCTGCCGAACAACCTGGCTAACGGGACGCCCTGGGAGGACGTTTGGGAGCCCGACGTGAGGGCAGAGAACTGTGACTCCAGCCTGAACCGAACCTACGCCATCTCCTCCTCTCTCGTCAGCTTCTACATCCCGGTGGCCATCATGATCGTGACCTACACGCGCATCTACCGCATCGCCCAGGTGCAGATCCGCAGGATCTCCTCCCTGGAGAGGGCCGCGGAGCACGCGCAGAGCTGCCGGAGCAGCGCCGCCTGCGCGCCCGAGACCAGCCTGCGCGCTTCCATCAAGAAGGAGACCAAGGTGCTCAAGACCCTGTCGGTGATCATGGGGGTCTTCGTGTGCTGCTGGCTGCCCTTCTTCGTCCTTAACTGCATGGTTCCTTTCTGCAGTGGACACCCCGAAGGACCCCCGGCAGGCTTCCCCTGCGTCAGTGAGACCACCTTCGATGTCTTCGTCTGGTTTGGCTGGGCCAACTCCTCACTCAACCCCATCATCTACGCCTTCAACGCTGACTTCCGGAAGGTGTTTGCCCAGCTGCTGGGGTGCAGCCACCTCTGCTCCCGCACGCCGGTGGAGACGGTCAACATCAGCAATGAGCTCATCTCCTACAACCAGGACACCGTCTTCCAGAAGGAAATCACAGCTGCCTATATCCACATGATGCCCAACGCGGTGAATGATGACGAGGAGGAGGGCCCTTTCGATCGCATGTCCCAGATCTATCAGACGTCCCCAGATGGCGACCCTGTGGCAGAGTCTGTCTGGGAGCTGGCCTGCGAGGGAGAGATTTCTTTAGGCAAAATAATACATTTTACCCCAAATGAATTCCATTAAACGGCATTAAGAAACTCCCTCCTGGATCTGCATAACTGCAGTGACATCTGCAAGCATGCACACACACGCAAATACATGCCTTTCCAGCGCTGCCCTGTTTATCATGTGTTTCTGAGTAGTAGCTCGTGTGCTCAGAAACCTCATCCCATTGATTGGTAGTTCAAAGAACTGGCAGAAGCAGTTGCAATAAACTCAGTCAAATATACCCAGACTGCCAGAGGTGATCCTATTAGAGAAGAGAGTATGGTGCTGGCTCCTTTAAAAAAAAAAAGTGTTACTTGGTCCTTAAAAAATATGCTCTCCCCTCCCTTTTTAAACAAATGGCTTCTTCAGTCATTGTTAGTGTTTAAATTGATTTTTAAACAGCAAGTTGGGTGTGTGTGCAGTGATGTGGTGGGAGCATAGCTTTCCTGGGTCTGGCTTCTGGTGGCTCTGTGCTTATGTCATTTCTTCTCTCTGTGCTGGTGGGTGTCTCTATATCACAGCCGAGGAAGTCTCACTCATTTATTCTGGTGTCTAATAAACACAAATTATTTGTATGATGGGGTGACTATCTTTGCTTTGCTACCTTGTGTTTCAGAAGTGCTTCTGAAGAAACCATGAGCGCACCCTTAAAATGCAAAGATGTTTGCTGGGTCTGGAAGGACATGCTTATTTTCTTTATAGTTTGGCCTTAAAGATACACACAGGGCAAAGGACGTTGAGGAGCTTCTGTTTTCTCAGGTTTCTTTTTATTACTTATACGCATGTGGGGTCTGTGCCCAAACCTGGCTTCAGTGGCAAGGCATTAGATCTTCTCAAGCCTAGATTTCTTTTTTTCTCATTTGGAATTTTTTTTTTTTTTTAAAATAAGACAACTCTCCTGATTCCTAGACAGATGCCATCAGTTTATTGAAAAGACTGTGTAGAATAATAGCTTGCTCTTTCTCCATGTGAAATCTGTAGCATGTTTTAGAATGACATGGCTTTTGAGAAATCGTGTTTTCTGAAGAGCTTTGAAATGTGTGAATCAAGATGCTTTAAAAAAGAAATCCTGTTTTTTAAACAGGCATTTTCCTTAGTGGACAATAGCAAATAGGGGAATGCTTTTTAACTAAAATGTAGAAGCCAGAGATGAAATGTGAATGAACTTGAAATTGGAAAATCTGTAGGTCTAGGTGCTCAATAGAAGAGCCCAACTAACTCCAATCATTTTGTTTTTCCTTTCTGCTGTGTGCACAGTCACAGTCAAGGGGAGTGTTTGATTCCAGACCCACACCGGTTGAGAGCATGTTATTAACATCAGATGTAAATATGAGTGCCGTTAATGGAAACAAATGAAATGTGAATATGTAATTTCTTACGAGTCCCTGCTTTGAAGCAGTTTTATCAAGGACAGTTCAATCAATTTTGATCTCTTTAAGGATAATTTCATTGTCAGTATTCTGGGCAACCATATCTTGGTCACTGCAAAATGTGCAGTTCCCGGCATATAACACTTAATAAATATTTGTTGAATGAATGACTATTTCTGGGACAGTGAGGTTGAAAGCAAATCCTATCCAGTACATCAATTTTTATATGTAATTTAGTCAAAATGATACTGGAACCTGAGGTCTGTGTTCAGTTTCTGACCTCCTGTGAGTGGATAGCTAAGCAAACCATTAGGCAACATTGGGGGCAGTGAAAAGCACACTACCGTAGGATTCAGGAGACTGCCACATGACCTTGAGTGAGTCAATTAACCTTTCTGGGACTCATTTTCTGTCTGTGTCTGTAAATGGAAAGACTTTTGCTAGATCACTGTTTACCAAATTGTGCTTTGTGATGCAGGTGTTAATGGATGGGGTCTCAGGTGAAATAAGTTCAGCAAACCCAGGTTCAGTATCTGTCTTCTCAACAGGACCTCTTAGAGCTTCTCCTGTGCATGATGCACCCTCCAGTGGGGCAAGACTGTGTATTATCTCCCACTGCCGTTCACCTTGTGAACCTTGTTTGGTGGAATTCCTATTACTGTCTCTCTGGAGTCCACAGTCATGGTTTGAGAAACTCAAATCTAACCGATCGGGAAGTCTTTACAATACTCTGTTCTAAAGCATGGGTGGTCATAACCAAAATCTTTTGTGAGAAACACTGTGGTAGGCTCCAGTTTAGATAAGTCCTGTGTTATGGAAAACGGATTATGTGAAGACTTTGGAATTCCCTTCTGTAAAATATCATTCACCATTCCTTATAATTATGTACTATGCACTAGGCACTGTTCTAGATGCTGGGAATATAGTTGTCAATCAAATTCTCTGCTGTCTTGGAATATTTATGTGAGTCAGTGGAGAGATAAGCCAATAAAGATTGCCCCACTATACTGCGCCACATTGCACTGTGCTGTATTGACCAGGATAGATAATGCCAGGCAGAGGATACTGCTTTGTTGCAAAAAACCCAGGGTGAATAGGGTGGTGAAGCTGCTGTTTTATTTATGGAGGTCGGGGTTGGGGGGGACCTTTCCAAAGAGCCACATGAAGAGAGACCTTGACTGGGTAAGAGTTGCAGCTCTGCTAATGTCTGGGAGGGACAGTAATCCAGGCAGAGGGAGTGGCAAGTGCAAAGGCTTGGAAATGGGCTTGTTCCTGGCACCCTTGGAGGAGTGTGGCTGGAGGGCCATAAAAAAGGAGTGTGATAGGATTGACGTTAATTGCCATGCAACCACAGCAGGCATGATGGAGACCCAGTCTGTGCTGGGTACAACATGTGTATTCATTCTTATTAATACACTCTTATTACTCCATTTTTTATAGATAAGGAAATGAAGGCATTGCCAGGCTAAATAACCAGCCTGGGGTCACATACCTCCTGAGTGGCAGAGCTGAACTTGAATCCAGGTAGCCTGGCCACAGAGTCTTCAATCCTAACTGCTCTTTGATGGTGACAGAGGATGCCAGAACTTCTTCAGTCAGCAAATGCACTAGTGCACAGATCAGAACATTCAGTTTTTTGTTCATTTATTACTGAAACGGTTAATTGATTCATCCCTACAGCCACACGACAGCAGCTCTTCATTGTGTACCTGCTCTGTGAATAGCTTTGTGTTTGGAAGGAAGGCATCCTAGGGTTATGGGCAAAGTAGCTCTTACATGATGGGCCAAGTGCTTTCCTGGATTCTTATTTATTCTTCACATTAACCTCACATGTTATTGTCTTCCCGTTTTACAGATGAGGACACGGGGGCACAGAGGAACTTGAAGAGTTGTTTGTCCAAAGTCATGTGACAAGTAAGCAGTGGAACCAGGGTTTACCTCGAGGTCAGCGGTTCTCAACAGAGAGAATTTTGCACCCTGCACCCTTCAGACATTTGGCAATGTCTGGAGACCATTTTAGTTGTCACGACTGGGTGTCAGGTACTCCTGCCATCTTGTAAGTAGAGGCCAAAGATGTTGTTAAACAACCTATGGTGCACAGAGAATTATCCAGCCCCCAACACTCATGTTGCAACCCTTGAGAGCCGTGACCAGGTGGACACACTCCAGGTCCCAGCTACCTGTCCACACTCCAGGTCCCAGCTACCTGTCCACACTCCAGGTCCCAGCTACCTGTCCACGAGGCCACTTGCCTGGAATTGGAGGCTCCACCGCCCTGAGGTTGAATTTTGGCTCCACCATTTTTAGTCATTTGAATCTGGGCAGCTTTCTGAGCCCCAGCTTCCTTATCTGAGCAATGGGCACACTAACTGCACAGAGTGTGCATAACACAAAGCACAGAACTTCCTTATTCTGATAGATGCTGAATCTTCTTTTATTACCAGACCTCCATAAACCATATTCATTTGTTAGAAGTGAGTCACTAAGTCCAAAGGATATTCAAGGGGAGGGAATTAGACTTTACTTCTTTGTGGGAAGAGTGCCAAAGAATTTGCAGAAGAGATGTTTTACATTTTATGCTTTATTTTTAATAACTTGTCCTCACATTGTTTCAGACTTATAGAAACCTTGTGACACGGTACAAAGAATTCCTAAATATTGTTTGCCCAGATCCCCCAACATCAATATTTCACTGTATCACTTACCTCTGTTCTTCCCTTTATCTTCCGAGTCATCTAAGATGTGATGCCCATTTACCCTTGAATATTTTGTTGCGTATTTCCTAAAAACAAGGAATTCTCTCATCTAATCTACTTTATTCAGACTTCATGATAACATCCTTTATAACAAAACAACCCAAGACCATGTGTTGCATTTAGCTGCCTCCTGTGATTTGAAAGTTTCTGCCGCTTTGTCTTTCATGACACTGACCATTGTGAAGATTACCTGGCCACTTACCTGGTAGAATCGTCCTTCAGCTCGGGATCTTGGGTGCTTTTCTGTGATTAGATTCTGTCATGCACATTGGGCAGGAATATCACAGATGCCATGCTGAGCTCCTCCAGCGCATCGCGTTGGGGGCAGGTGCTGTCAATTAGTTCCATCACTAGCAATGTTAACTTTGCTCATGGGGTTATGGTGCTGTCCACTGTTTTACCCCTTCTAATTAATAAGTATTTCCTTTGGAGAAGTGTTTTGAGACTATGAAAATATCCTATTATTTCTCAAATTTGTTCTCATTGCTTTTAGCATTTATTAGTGAACCTTACCTGAATCAGTTATTACTGTGATTGTCAAACAGTGTTTTTAAAAAAATTTTTACCATCTTTCTAAATTTATTGTTGGTTTTCCACTGTAAGGAAGAATATTTGTTTATATATTTATTTACATCAGCATAGAATCTTGGGTTTCTAGTTTTGCTTGTTTTTGAGACAGGGTCTCACTATGTTGTCCAGGCTGGAGTACAGTGATGTGATCACAGATCGCTGCGACCTGGACTCCAGGGCCCAAGCAATCCTCCCACTTAGCCTTCCAAGTAGCTGGGACCACAAGCATATGCCACCATGCCAAGGTATTTTTTCTTTTATTTTTGTAGGGACAGGGTCTCCCTGTGCTGCCCAGGCTCATCTCAAGCTCCTGGGCTCAAACAGTCCTCCCACCTCAGCCTCCCAAAATGCTGGCATTTACAGGTATGAGCCACCATGCCCAGCCTGGGGCTTTGGTTTTTATAATAGGTTATAATCCTTTACTTGACACTGTTAATGAAATACTATTTTGACATTCCAGGTATGGGACCTGGGGAAACATGTGTTCCATTTGTAGGATATTAACACAGTGCTCAGTCTAAGGGCAACACTCAGGACACTGTTTTCTATTGTCTTCGAAGACTGTCCCTGCCCTCAAATCTCTCAGAGGGTATCCATACTTATTATACTAACTTACCATGATGTTTAGGTTGCCTTAGATTTGGTTAGTGGGAGCCTTTTAAATTGGTTCCTGTGTCCTTTGACATGCTGTCATTATTCTTTGAGTAGTTAGTTACTTTTCAACACAAGAGATGTCAGACTCATTTTGTATATTTTCTGTCCAAGCCTTGGAGTCAGCTATTTTTCCAAGGAGACCTGGGTTCCTTCTAGCAGAGAATGGTCATGTAGAAATCAAGATCTGGGCACAAGGGTATTTATTGTTACTGGGGCAGCATTGTT